CTGGGGTCAAATGGCTGTGAGTGTTTAAAGAAGTTTCCTTTGAGCACTGCCCACAGGGTCTGTGGAGCTACTGTTTGACAGTCACGGGTTTGAGACACAACAATTTTTTTTTACTGCTGACCTCTGCACATTCTGGTCAACCTCTGCACTCTATCAGCAGATCAGCCAAAACAAAATGCTGCAAGGGAAAGTGTCTTCACAGTTTAGCAGCTACATTTCTAACCATTACCATTATGGTACCACTTAGTGAAACCTAAACACTTCCTTTATTATAGCTTTAAATTACTGCCCAGTCCAAGTGTAGCTGAGGTTAAATTTTGCTTACCTTGTGATATAATCGGTTGTTTTCCCATTCTAACAATTTCTGAATGGATCTTCGTGTCTGCAGAAAAGAACAAACAAAGAGTTTAAAGGTTCCAATAATCACCCCATGAAAACATTCAAACAGGTGCTTAGCAAATGCCAATAAAACACCCAGCATTAAAGCTTCAGAGACATTTATAGACTGAAGCCCTTATTTAAGCAGCTCGTAAGTTGCACGTTATAGCCAATAACCTGGCGTGGAATCCTAAACTTTCCACGCAGTATCTTCCAAATAACCTGGTTTAATGCATCAATTTCACACTATCACTAATTGGACAGATTGTTATTGGCTTCAGCACCGAAGGCAATATGGTGTGTTAAAGGCTAGTAAACAACAGACAAGGTTGATTTACAGAAGGTCTCACCCTCTTGTTGAGGCATATGACAGGCCATAGACTGCAGCCCACAGTACAGCAACAGCACAGGCAGCCGCAGAGAAGCCATTTCACATTTATTGGCAGGTTCTTCTTCAGACAAGCGTTCACCCGGCTGATACTTGTCTTAAACTCTTCTGGTGCAACCTGAGTCAAGCAGAAAAACAAGGCAGAAAACATTACGGCGTGGTCAACATCTGCCATAAAAAAGAAGGGCTATGATCATACATGATCATGTATGTTACTATGTCTTAGCTATGCACTGTCTGGGAACAAAAATGTAATGGAAAATAGTGTCTTAAAAAAATGCACACAACAATATTACTTTTTCCTACTGGCAAATTCATGACAAACATTTACAGATTAAAAAAAATCTACAAACTGAAAAAAGAATCCTGTCCAATCTTTGCAGACACTCTCTAATAATCAGATGAGATCTCTCAATTGCAGCTTCTAATTTGCCAACCAAGCTGCAGGACTTTCAGGGTAAAAGGAGGACAAAAAGAAGAGATAAGACCATGGCCTGTGGCTGTGCCGTCCAAACAACATGAATGGTTGCTCATTCCTCTCTGGGTATGTACACCATAAAACTGGGGTCGTAATCTTTTATGACAGGATGCAAAGGTCTCTTTGCAAACAGTGAAAGAGCTCGGAATAAAGCCCAGCAGGCCTGATCTGCACCCTTCAGTCATCATAATCCTGACCTCATCCATCACATGTCACCCAGGGTCACAATACTGGAGATACATTTTATTGCCCCGCACTTCCCTCAGCCTGCTCTTCCCCCTGCAACCTTTTTGTGTTTCTGCGTCCGACCCAGGAAGCTTTCCTTTCTTGTGCACAGCGCAGTCTTTATTTCATTATTTCATCACCTGGAGCAGTGTCCTCCCAGCACCAGGGTCCCGGCCAGCAAGGCCCTTACACGGCTTACTCATTGACAGAAACCTACTTCAGTATATTCAGCTCGCATTAGATGCACTATGGCGCACTTACTGAAACACATCTCTCCTGGTCTCAAAGAGAACAGAAGATGGTTAAATGTTTTTAAGAGTTATTAAATAGACAAAAACTAAAGACAAAAAAGTAAAAAATCTCTAGGATCATATATTAACATCATAGGGATCATTACCTTTCCTGTAAGAACAGAAGGGAATTCTGTGTCAAATTTGTTGCTCAGTCCAAACCTACAAACACAGAAATGACATGGTAAATTGGGCTCTCCTGTATAAATATACGCAGGCAATAAAATCATTATTTCATGACAACAATAATGAAACAGACTAATAAATGAATACTAGAAAATAAACATTACCCTGACCCAGAAAAGGTATTATTTATAATATTTAACATACAGAACTGCAACTGGCCCTAACAATAACATCTGTATTTTTTTTAATCATGACAGGGCACAGGGGTGTTTAAAGAACATTTGTGCACTACAACGCGGTATACTCACTTAAAAACGCCCTATAATAATGCTGCAGCAAATTAATGTTGTTATTAATATCACTTATATTATAAAAATTACATTTTATTAAGGTCTAAATGATAAAAGCTGGTCTGGTCTAAACTACAATAAAAGTGTTAGTGTAACGCTAGGGAAATGTATCGATGGTGGGCTGCCTGGTTACCAGATTGTAACGTTAGTTTTGGCTCCTACTGTAACCATAACTGCAAAGGAGGTAACGTTAAATAGAGCCCACACACTGGAGTTACAGAAATAATAAAACGAAATAAAGCGAGGGTACGGAGACTAGTTTAATTTCGTAACTCAGACCTGCCTAAAGTATGTCTCCTCTGCCACAGAAAACGAGTCTAAACACATATTGCAGCGTTCAATATCACACTTCATGCACGTGATACTGCTGTCTGGGTTAATATCTCCACCATGAGACAACTAGACGAACAACTGACGGGACGATATTGACTCCTGACCACCAATAACACGGCTATTCTCTCAGTCAGAGGTGAAGGGGCGTCGTCCTGTCTGTCTAAAATCAGTGCCCGTAAACAAGAAACACCGCGCTGAGAGGCTCGGCCTACATGTATTCTGATAGCAGCACCGAGCGAAGAGAAACACTCAGCACACTGAGCGCTACGCTAGCACGGAGGCTACCTCGGCAGGAACGAGAAAGCGGCGTATAACCACAGCGCTACAGCACTAGGACGCTTACACTGTGATGTGCCCAGCCCCTCGCATGACCACGGGCTCGGGGCAGTATCTGGAGAGGTGCTCTTCACTCACTATCCGCTCGTCTTCCTCTTCTAACTCATAAATGGTATCAAAGTCCGCCATGTTGGGCAGTAAGACGCTCATGACGTTTCTGACTCTGCGTGAGTGACGTCAGAGCGAGCGTGTGCACAGAGAAGGCAAAAATCAAAGGCGGGAAAATGACCCTGAGTTCAATGAATACATCGGCCTTCTCTGAGTTAGCTAATGCAGCAGTCTTATCAGAGTTAATACAGGCTTCTCTGGGTTAATACAGCAGCATTCTCTGAGTTAATACAGAAGCCTGTTACAGCCTTCCTGTCCAAATACAGAGAAAAGCATGTCACTGTTGAAAATGCTGCGACACTTAAACAACAATAATGAGAGGACAAATGTAATAGGATTTAAGTGGTCTGTGAAACCGTTCCTGAGAGGGATCTTCAGGGAAGGGGAAATGACAAGTAACAGAGGCTTTTTTACATCATATACAGATAAAGTTGTATCCTGGCCAAATAGCTACGATAGCCTGCTAATAAACTCTCGCCCGCAGATAAGAGATTTTGCCACAGTTCTATATCATGAATAGTGGAACAGTTGAAAATAGTTGGCTTCCCATGTTAAGGATCCTGTCCTGTGCCCTACATATGGCCTAGAGCAGTCTAACCAGGGCACCTGTAATGTTCTCGGCATGACAGAAGGTACTGTAAAAGGGAATTCCACCTATTTTACAATACTTATACATAATAAAATGGTTCAAATATAAACAGATTTATTCAGTGTGGTTCAATGTGAAATACTCTGTTCTAAAGAAAGTCACCGAGTCAGCATTGTTCACAGTGGTGGTGGTAGGAACCATCGTCTAAAGAGTTTAATGCCTCTAAAACCTCCCTCACAGAAAGCTATTACACGAAATGGAATACACTGCCTGATGCCAGAGACATTGTTTTACGATAGCTTTGAGAAGAGTTTGAACTAAAACGTATTTTGTAACCCATTCGTGACGAAGAAGTACCTGGATGGCGCTGTGAGGCAAAATAAACCCCAAAGAAAACTTTAGGGATTTCACCATTATTAACATTGCATATAAAAACTCACATGACAAGTGTAGGTTCACTTTGGATAGTAAATAAAACAGCTATATTTGGTAAGCTTTTGCACAATACAGCATTTCACATTAAACCAGTCTGAATGACTCTGTTTACATTTTAGTCGTTTAATTATGCAGAAAATTTGAAAAATTTGAAAAATTCCCCCTTTAAAAAGAGCGAGGCCTGCTGTTACTGGCATGATTTATCTAGTTTATACATGCATAAGTCTATGTATAGTTACTTTCACAAACAGAAGGAGAAGGCTCTTGTTGCTTTGTTTTAACTCAGACAATAAAACATTGGTTTAATCATTTTAAGCCGTTATTCTTATTTGTTTATTACTAAAAAATATATTAACACATATCTACCTGGACAGATAGTGGTTTGAACTCTTTTGCATAATGTATGATTACGTTCATTCAGGATGTAGCTTCTATGTGAAATTCGTGCTTATTTTTTATACGGTCACTTCAGATCGTAGTGTATTAGTAAATGTTAAATGTACAAATTTTCTTTTGTTTTTAGGCGCTACGAAAAAGCAGCGGCTTTTAACAGTGGTCGACATATTTGTTTCTTTGCACTCCAGTGACGCAATCAGTTGCAATAAGCAGTTGTTTGGTTCAAATGTGAACAGCTCATATAATAAGATCACAGACTGTGTACAATGCACTGAAAACTGACACTCAAATGTGCATTAAGCCTGTTTGTTTTGGTTGATATAATGACATGATCCCATGATATATTATTTTCAAAAACATTTTATTTACACGACGTTGGGTTCACATGTTCTCCCCACATTAGCCCTGAACAGGTCTGCTTGTCCGTGAATGAAAATGCTCTGCTATAAAGACATACTGAAGCGGAGCAGAAACGTGAAAATAAAGGTTTTTCCAGGGTAATGATCATCATGTGTTTGGAGAAACAGGCCCGAGTCATTTTATTTACAAAAAAAAACTTATACACTCATCACATACAGAAAAAAAGATATTTATATCTTAAAAGATCAAAAACACAAACAAACCTTTAAAATATTTAGCTTTTGGACCAGACGAACATTTTGTTTCTTTTTTTCCTTTTAATGTTAAAACTATTCTATTTAAAACAATATTTGAAGAGCCTCCAGCATTTTTTTTTGCTTTTCTTTGCAGTTTAAACCCGTAATTCTTCTCTGTTGTAATCCACAGCGCGCGCCTCATGACGGCTCACTCGGGGCTTTTTGTTTTCTTTCTGTGTTTATTCTTTTTTAAAAATCCGTCTGACCGCTGTGTGCGGCTCTGCTGTCCTCTCTCTGCGTGTCGGAGTGCTCAGTTTGAATGAGGAGGTCAGGTGGACCTTCACAAGTTCGAGTTCACTGAGTGACTGTGACCTGCTGTATGTTCCTCATGGACGGTAAGGTGTTCATTCCGGGTGGGGGGTACAGGGAGCTGTGCATTTCTGAGGGGCTCAGAGAGCCGGGCACGGGGAGAGGACTGACCGAGCCGGGGTCACTGTGCACAGAGCCGCCGCTGCCGTCCGACTGACCCATCTTCTTCTTGATTAACTTCCTCTCTTTGGCTCGGCGGTTCTGGAACCAGATTTTTACCTGTGAAAGAAGGAGAAAAGAGAAGAGAGATCAGAGCGGCTCGATAGCGCTACAGCTGAAGCGCAGTTAAGAGCTGGGGGTCCAGCGGTGGCTGTAGGCCTACTGTCCTACCTGTCTCTCTGAAAGACCCAGATTGACCGCCAGCTCGGACTTTCTTCTGATGGTGATGTAGCGATTAAAGTGGAACTCCTTCTCCAGTTCCAGCCTCTGGTGGTCTGTGTACACCACTCGGTATTTTTCCTTTGTTCTCGTTTTACCTGCACAGACACAGAGATATATTAACGGAGGGCGACAGATAACAATGAAATAAACCAGCAAATAAACAAATAAAACACGAGACATAGTGATTAGTATAATGAATGAAGACACAAAAAGATGATTTTGCTATTATGTATATTATTTACTCTTTATATGTACATACATATTACATTCTGTATATATATATATATATATATATATATATATATATATATATATATGCAGAAAATCAAAGTCAAATCATCTTAAGCTTGTTTTCTATTAGTTCTAGTAGTAATATATCCTATTAATATAACTAATACTACTAATTTAAGCCAAATATAACAGTATTGTCTGCGTTCTGAAATGGACTAAATCAGTCTGGAAAAGTATGAGATCAATGTGCTGAGCCAGTAGCCCTGAGGAAGATTTTATCTGTCTGGATCAAGACATGTAAATCGCGCCTCTGATCTTTTTTTAAGGCACTTTTTTTCTACAAACTGCAGAACAAAGAGGCTCAGAGATCTTAGCTAAACGCCATTCAAGTGTTAAGAGGCAACTCAAGAGTTAAAAGGGTTTACAAGGAGGATCCCATCGAGAAGACTTTCCCTGAGAGCAGGCTGCTCCTGTTTGACTGTTTCATCACCTTAGGATCTAATAATGTTCATCCTCAACTCAGAACTTATATTACTTCGTGCTTTGATCTGAGCAATAATAGGAATATAAGGGCAGAAGTGCTATGATTATTATTATCATTATTATTTGTCTTATGGCTGATTGGAAATGCCAGGCTGGATTAATTCATTTTGATAAAACATAAGAAAATTACATGATTGACAATCCCATTAAATCAATGAAAATATAACTCATGTACTTCATCTTATCTAATTATCATATGTGCCCTAAATGTCAGATCACATTACAGTGTATATTTGTCTCGCTGTGTGCTGTAGTTTGCAGTGTAAACCCTGCTGTAACTTTTTTTCTTGGAGCTGCAGAGAGCCGTGTTGTTTTAATATGTGCCGCGCTCTTTTTCTTATTTGCTGTGAAATCCCTCACTCCTGCCTTCGAGACGAGGGCGAGAGGAAGACACACTGCTGCATATCAAAGTGGAGAAAGGTGTTGAAAGGAGCCGCCGCCTGAATATGACAGATAACCCCGAAAAAAGAGAGAAGCGGAGACAATGTAACAGGAAAAAACGCGGAGCTCTCATCTCCTTCACGCGAGCGCATTAGCATTACAAGCGACCCTGGCGCCACTTCCCCACACCTCCACCTGCCTCTGCGCACATTTGCCACCGAGTACATTTGCTTCAGTTTTCCCAAAACTCCGCAAACAACCGCACTACAATAATACAGCTGCAGCTCACTTTCAGTCCCCTAAAAACAGTGCGCGCACGTTAAGGTTTTGTGCAATATTTTAAAATGATTTTAAACGAAATTGAAGATTTAGTCTGTATTAAATAATGAATATGTCTCTCAATTAAAAAGAGCATTTGGTCTCTAATGTTCAACAGAAGACTTCTTAAATTGAGAAAGCCAAGATTTGTTAAACGGAGAAATGCTTTGTTCACACCTGTTGCTTAAATTCGTTTTAGCAGTAAATAAAATTCGATACAGTTTGATTGCATTTTTTCCAGCCTGAGCTTTTCTCCTTAAATTAGAAATTTGGCTTAACGAAAAGTTTAGTGTGAGTTTAGAAAAAAATAATAGTAAACGAAAAAAGGCAGAAAGCTCTAATGTGCAGTGTTTCTATTAGCACTGGTCACACATGTTTAAACTACAGTTCGTTGCTAGACCCTTTCAGGCTGTTATTTAGTGCCATGAAACGTGCCCTCTTGACCCAGAAGAGTGGTCATGGTGACTGTGGTAGCTGTGAACGTACCGGTGGAGGAGGACTGCACGGTTTTGCTCATCCACTGGTAAGAGTTGCGCCGCTCTCTGTCCGGGGACAGCGGCGGCGCTGAGATGTTGTCCTGCGGGGGAGGCAGCACGGCGGAGGCCGGGTTGTGCATGGGCGGGTATTCGGGCGAGCAGTAAGAAACCTGTCCGGGAGACGTGTTGCTCATAGGCGCAGAGATGGTGTTCGGGGGTCCGAGGCTGTAGGCCCCCCAGTCCTCTCGCGGGGCGCCGTACGGAGCTGCCCAGGGCCCCGCGGCCTGCGCGTGAGGATCCACACCGGACACATGGTGGTATCCGCTAAAGTCAGAGTACTGCGGGGTGGACACGAAGTTCTGAGGCGGGAGGTTGATGCCGGATCGTCGTACAGGTCCTTGGTGATGATACATGTTGCCCTCTTTATCCAACAGATATCCAACATACATGATGCGAAAGAAAACAAAAACACCAAAAAACCCCAAACCCCCTCTGTCTCTAACACGACATATCAGCCCTGCACCATGCCAGAGTTACTGCTCAGAATCACCACAAAACACAGTAAAAACCCAGACCAGGCCCTGCAGGGCTTTCTGATTGTTGTGGCAAAGTGTGCTAAAATGTGTTAGTCCAGAGAGGATCTCCAGCTCGGTCATGCGGTGTAAGTCCGTGACGTGCTTCAATCAAACATGATGTGAGTGTGTTGACAAGGTGCTGCTGGTGTAGGTATAACAGGGCCTTCCTGACGTCAGCCAAGACTTCAAACCCGCGGATTTGCATTCAAATGACGGCCAATGAGACCGCACACACTCACTCTCTCACACACACACACGCACACACGCACACACACACATACACACTCACTCACTCACACACATACGCACTCACTTACACACACACTCACATTTAGTGAAGTTAACCAAGGAGTTTGCAGAGGCAGAAGCAAGACTTTTCAACTGGAAACTACAAACTTAATAAGGCCTAAATCATCAAAAATAAAAGCACAATGAACAAGAATAAACTAACAATAATGAATACCAAAAAATTATGAACAAGAATAGTAACTTTAAGAATTAAAGTTTAAGAATTAATTGTAAGAATGACACTAATGATAATTGAATCCTTATATTATTATTATTATTATTATTATTATTATTATTATTATTATTATAAGTAATACTGTATGTTTACGTTTATTATTATATTTAAATGTTTATTAGCATTATTACTGATGTTACTGTTAATGACATTATCAATATTATTAAATCTGTGGCTGTAACTGTTAATTAATAAAAAATACAAATAAAAATGTGCTTTCTTATTGTTGTTAAAACTATCACAGATAGTTGTAATTAACGCCAGATTATAATAACTATTTTGTATTTTTTTATTATTAAAAATACCATTATTATTATTATTATTATTATTATTATTATTATTATTATTATTATCATGCAGTCTTCACTCTGCAGGGTTACAGTGGGAGGTGAATGAGGTGTGTGGAGATGATGGGAAAGGCTCGTGTGTGGAGTCTACATGCCGCTCTGTCGCCCTCAGAGTGGCGCGAGTTTGTTGGCGCTGTTCGACTGAAAGAGGTGTGAAGCGTGTTGAGCTCTCTCTCTCTCTTTCTCTCTTTCTCTCTCTCTCTCTCTCTCTCTTACTCTCTCTTCACACCTCCACACTCGGACAGGTCACACTTCACAGTTAATTCCGGTTTAGGGCTGATCGTCCATCAGGCCTGAGCTCAGCAGCGGCTCTGACCGTCCACGATTTAGAGGCTTTAACGAGTTGTTAACTGTTAATGTTACTACACGCTGCTTTCACTGACAGCCGCCCGAGTTCAGAACGAGCTTCGGGGATGATTTCAGTGTTTAGAGAGCAGCTCCGCTCTGAACATCACACAGAGCAGCCGCAGATCACTGTGTTCATACATGTCTCACATTCACAGTCATGCACTGAGTAAATGGGGATTTAAATGTTTGAACTGTGTCGAATGGCTGCACATGAACGAATGAAGCCTGTATCAACACAATGACGTTGACGAATTTTCACGAACTTTGCTCAGATGCGTCTTTTAGACACATTTCAGACACGTACAGTCAAAATACCGAACATTAAACCGGTCCTGCTTCACCTGTTCACCTGTTCACCTGTTCACTGTGTCGACAAAATGAAAGACAGCACCATTCAGGCTCAGTTAAAGTGCCATTTAAGCACATAAAGCTGGTTACAGATGTTGTCACAGATGTGTCTTCATCATTAAGACAGTCGAGAGCCTGTGCTGAGATGATGATGTGTTGACGATTAGTTCTTTATCAGTAGTACTGTGTAAACTCATCACAGAGGAGAATGTTTCTGAAGCTGACCGGCCTGTGTGGGCTTTTCTTTCTAAAAACGGACAGAGTACATATTCTGAGCAAAGGACCCAGTAAGTCTCCCATAATTAAATGATATGCGCTCTCTCTCTCTCTCTCTCTCTCTCTCTCTCTCTCTCTCTCTCTCTTCCTCGATGTATTGAATAACATGAATTGACACAAGTGGTCATAACCACTGGTCACTCTGTGCTGTACAGATGCGCTGGCTTGCAGATTCATTGGCACAAAGCGCATCGAGGAGGACCTCTGGTGGTCAGTAATGCCACAAAAGTGTGCCCGAATGACCAGGTGCTTGAGAAACACATCTTATCCCACGCTGATTTTTTTTTTACTTTTCTTTGTTCTTCATTTGTTTTTACTTCATTTATTTAAACTTTCATTCGTTTAGCTTTTCAGCGCTGCCTTTAAAACAGGTCTGTCCAATTTAAAGGTTCGAAACGAGCAGAAGCTGCAGGCGACAGACGTTCATATCAGACCTGCAGTGATTTCCAATGACCGCAAGAGGGCGGTCTAGTCATCTTCATCAGACCACAGTTAGAGGACTGGAGGAAAGCTTTTGCATGAAATAATGAAAAGAATTAATATATAGTAATTTCTAATGAAGAAAAAAGGTTTAATAGATACTAATGTAAACACAATTAAGGAAAAGTAGAATATTTCAATTAATAAATTCGCTGCGTAAATAAATACACAATAAAAATACAAATAAAAAAATACAAATGTGAATGTAAATCTATCAACAATATCATCACAAGATATTTTTCTGCAAATATCAGATAGACACAAACATTAAAAAATAAATACATACATACTTACATACAAACATACATACATACATAAAAACAACTAGAAGGGCCCCTCATGGTTTGAGGCCCTTAAGCAAGTACAAATAGCACTTATGGCAAGAAATAGTGCTGAGCAATAAATAAAAAAAATCAGTTTTTCAGAAAGTAACCTTTTTTCTATAAAAGGTTTGTCTTTCTATTTGTGTTTTTACAAAACCATTTTTCAGTTTTTGACATAATTTGAAAATTCCTGAGGTTCTTTACATTTTGTGTAAATTTCATGACGAATGGACCAAAAGAAATTGTCCAAAATCCACTGACATTTAGAGTAAAGTAGGTTTTTTCCTTCTCCTGTAAATGTGATAAATATATTCGTGTTGAATCAAGTATCGGATCGTATTTGTCTCTACCTGTTCTAAGTGAGACAGTAAATGTCCCACTATGTTATATCTCCATAAACATAAACATTTGTTTTAATTTTATCAGGAGATGTTAGAAATCCTTTAGTCTTAGATGCTCAGCATCTGGGATTTCTTGTAAAGGCTGAAGTGTCCAGGAGACTATATAAAGTAAAACTAAATTCTGTCAGTTTAAGATTGAAGCACAATTAGTGAATAAAGGAGTAACAAATGGTCTTCATCTGAAAAACTTTCAGGAGGTAAAAGACTTTGATAGACAGACAATACTTCTCTATTGGTAAATTTATGAGCATGTAGGCCTTGACACTGAAAGGTCTTTAAACAGTGGGCTTGTGACTTTGTGGACTTGTTGCCTTTATATGGTTCTGGATTGTGGTGGTGTTTTTTTACTTCCATGCAGAATATTCTTACTGTGACTAATATAAAGCCACTCTGTGCTGGCCAAATTTAACACAGATTTCATGTAAAATGGACCAAATGTATTAATCACCAGCTTTTACTCATTCATTTGTTATGTAATGCTTTTGTTTGCACCTGGATTTTACCATTTCAGTGGAATCTTGTGAATCTGAATTTAGCTACGTAAAAACATTATTATTCAACTCATGATTTTTATTTTCTATCTTTCCCTATTAGTGTCTCATCGTTACATGGAAAACAGCAGATTCTCAAAAATAAAGACGGGTAGATCAAGACAATAAACTCACAGAAACTCGAAGCCAGAACACCTAAGGGATGACATGTCTGCCAAGTAGTTATAGCTTTTGTATTTATTTCTATGTCTCTTCCTTTGAGTGGAATAGTCCATTCCACTAGTGCTGCACTTGGAAAAAGAATGAGCAATGCAGAAACTTAAGTGGGGCCTGGGAAAAAAAATCAGAGATGACTCGCTTATAATGAATTCTGAAGTGGATGGTGCTGTTTAAGAGTACAAACACATGTTTGTGGTAGCCTGTAGTGTCAAGCCAACCCCACATCCCTCTGGTCCCATCCTGTGGTGCTGTAGGCTTCTATTAGAGGCCGACTCCTTCACAGCACCCCCTCCTTTATGTCTGCAGTGTATACTCTAAAACAATGATTATAAATTGGGTCTTGGCTTAGACATACAGTTGCCTTCAACTGGTACAGAAACTTTACATTATGTAATGTGAAGAGGTTTTTCATGCTTTGAAGCTCATTTCAACTAAAGAATTATTCAATGAAAGAGCCAGATGTAGTTATTCTATGGCATCGCTCCAAAGACCCCTTTTTGGCACCTTTATAAGAGTGCAAGGCCTCTTTTATAAAGCTGTACAAAGGCAAACAGCAGTAACTGTAGGACTGATCTGAAATTGCGTGTTTGAGGATTTGAGGATGTTTTAATTTGTGACAAAAGTTCATGGCCCCTTTTGACCGTAGCCATAAAATGCAATTTGTGCATACTTTGCAGGTCTGTCAGATTGTGTGCTATATTTTTCTTTTCAGTAAAGCTTATAGAATATATTTACAAAACCACAAGCTTTACAAAAAGTGTTCTGTTGCTTTTGTTAATATCTTCATTTTTCTCCCAGCATGGCTGTCTTGTGGAGTGGTGTGAGTTGTTTCAGTAACAATTTTAGAAACATATTCAGCTGGACAACAGCAGAACTTTGAAGCTGTTTTTCCTTAGTTTCATTGTTGACGTAGTTAGTGCTCTTTGTTTTTGTAGGGCGGTGTAGCTTACCAAGGCCTGGACCTACTGGCTAGAGCTCCGTGTTTGGACCCCAATGACAGCTCCAAATGTGATGAAGCTGCAGAGCTTCCTGTCGTCCGTGACCGCAGGCCCCCCTCAGCTGTGCTTGTAAACAGCAAATTCAGACTGAGCTGGGCCAACATTTGCGGTCGTCTCTCACTACCATACATAATTCATGAAATAGTAATCCCATTTTGTGTTTAGTGGAAAAATAAATCTGGAGTGTATTGACTCTCTTTGTCAAGTGCAAAGGAAGGCCTCACTATGTTTTTTCGTATGACGTGCCTAAAACGAGAATCTCTGCTGTTTGTGACTGTTTGTGTCTGGTCTCAGTTGCTTTTCCTTTGCATCATTTACAAATATTAACTCAATCCCACAAAGTCACAGGAAATGGTCACTCGCTTTGATAGATTGTCAGGAT